CCCCAAAACCCCAAAACCCCAAAACCCCATGAGTTTAATAAAGATTATGTAATGAAGATATTTTTAATAAATATTTATTAAATAATTGAGAATGATCACGTATTTAATATCAATTAGTAAGATAATTTGAAATGGATTATGCAATCGATGTCATTATTTCCGTAGCATTTTTAATACTAACTATAATAATTAACAAAGGAAAATCTCCTTTAAACACAACCTATAAAAGAGTGATAGTTTTAGAAGTATATGTAGAAAAATATTAAGGGAACGGCAGAGGGAAACACCTCGAAATCCTAACTTGACGAGGATGATTAGATCCTCGCTAAAATGGGCTACAAGCAGGAACTTTACAGAGGATTTAACGCATTTATGTCATTTTCATTCTGCTTCACGGCAGTAGCTGTTATCTCAGGATGCTCCATCCTATTTCCATATGGATTGAAATCAGGAGGTCCAGTCATTATGATCTGGGGCTGGATCATCGGATCTGTGTTCACAATCATTTGCGGACTGTCAATGGCTGAGATTTGCTCTTCTTACCCTTCAGCTGGAAGTGTTTACCATTGGGCAGGAATGATGGCACCCCCAAAGTGGGCTCCATTTGCTTCCTATATATGTGGATGGTTCAATTTTCTTGGTAATGCAGCAAGTGATGCCAGCTTTGCATTTGGATTCGCACAAGTAGTATCTGCCGCTATTCACTTAGGTACAAGGGGAGATATTGAAGTACCAGTCATTGGCTAAGTTGGGTTGGCTGTAGCTGTTTCTTTCCTCTGGGCTCTCAAGAATATTATGAGAGTTGACCATTAAGGCTGGTTTAACAATGCCTCTGCTATTTACTAACTTACAAGCACATTTGTTGTGGTGATTGTCTTACTTATTGTCTCACCAAGATTATCTTCATCTGATTTTGTATGGACATAGTACAATAATGGCTCTAACTTGCCTAATGTACCATATTCCTGCTGTATAGGATTGCTCATGTGTCTCTTCAGTTTCTCTGGATATGAAGGAGGAGCTCACATGGCTGAGGAAACCAAGAATGCTTCTTCTTCTGCACCTTGGGGAATAGTTTATACTTGTCTTGCCTCAGCTTTTACTGGCATTATTTATATTACAGGACTTCTTTATTCTTGCCAAAATTATATCTAGGAAATTTTAGACGGGAATAGTGATTAAGCTGTAGTCAATATATATGCTTTAGCTTTTACAGATAGCAATGGTCATGTCAAGCTAGCTGGCTCATTGATACTTACAGTAATGTTAATCATTAATTTATTCTTTGCTGGGTTCAGTAGTATGACTGTGACATCAAGAATTGGATTTGCAATGGCTAGAGATGGGGGTCTCCCACTTTCAAGTTATCTTTATAAACTCAATCCAAGGACTCTAACTCCAGATAGAATCATTTTCCTAGTATTTTTAATGGATGTCGCCTTGTGTTTATTACCATTAATAAGTTAAACTGCTTTTGCTGCTATTACTAGTATCACTACTATTGGATATCAAATATCCTATGCAATTCCAATTGTTCTCAGATTGACTGTATGTAGAAATACATTTCAAAAAAGTGCTTTCCACTTAGGAAATTTTTCTGAAGTTATTGGCTGGATTTCAGTGGTATGGCTGTGTGTCACTTCAGTATTCTTTTTACTCCCTTCTGAGTTTGATGAAAATGGAGGTTAGAATGCCAAAATCTTCAATTATACATGTGTTGTTGTAGGAGGAACTCTCCTCCTAGCAATGATCTACTGGTTCTTGCCAGCACCTCATGGTGCTAGACACTTCTTTGTGGGTCCAAAGAGAGATGATGTTCACAGATCTAAAGTAGATTCTGAAAATTAGCAAGCTTTACTTTAAATTGAAATTTAGTAGATTAAAATAGATTCTGTGAAAGAGTAAGAAATTGCTGAAGAAGACAATTCAAGAAATTGGAAAAATTCATCTATAAATTCTGATGAATTTAAACAACTAAAGAAATAATGAAGATCATTGAAATGATTCAAAACTTAATTGGCATTAATTGAAATAAATTTGATATTTTTCATAATTAAAAATTTGTTTAAGTAAGCTTAGTGGGGTTTTGGGGTTTTGGGGTTTTGGGG